CCTGCCCAGGGATCATTGAGATATATTTGAATTTCTTTTTTTTGTCTGCTTTATTATATATGCACAGTGATATTTAAAAATCTTTCAGTGGATTTTATGGCTTTGTTAAGTAGTAAAAGTACAGGTATTAATTACAGGACACTGTTGTTTTACAGTGCTTTAAAAGGCTCAGAAGCAATTCAAGCAGTTGAGCACCTGTTGACCTACATTCAGTTTAACCAACTGCTAACTAACCACAACTTAGAGCATTTCAGTAAGAAACTCCGAATTCAGGAGTTTGATTTCACTTCTTTAGTTGTCCATTTCTTAAATACCTTCTTCATGGCTTTCTCTTCTCTATGAAGTAGGATAATTTTGTTAACATGCTCTTAGATAAACACTTATCTTAGCTCTTTTGGAAGTCTCTTTAGCATCTTCTTATGAATCAGGCATTTATAATGAGAATTTTAGTTTGAACAGCTATAGTATTGTCTTTATGGATTCATGGTTTCACTCAGTTTAATATTACTACTTTTGTTATTCCTTTTAACCTCTGATGTTAGAGCGCCTTAGGTGAGCTTGTATATAAGAAGTAAGCATTAGAAATTTATATCTGGGAATTTAACAGATTAAACATATTATTGAAGGGTAAAAATTTTGATTTTAGAAAACCAAATCATGAAACAAAAAATAAAATATAAGTGAAACCTTAAGAGATTTGATAAAATAAGTTATTTTTCACATGTGTGTTTTAACCTTTAGATTTTGCCCTTATTTCAAGAAGCTGAAGATAAAAACAGACTTTTACGAACTGTGGCAGGTGGAGGTTTAGAAACAATTAGTAATCTGAAAGCTAAGTGGGATAAATTTGAGTTGATGATGGAAAGTCACCAACTTATGATTAAAGATCAGGTAAGACTCTTTTAGTTATTTTATTAAAATGGAAACTTAATTTTTTCTCACTTAAGATTTCTTGGTTATGTTTATTCCGTTATAGCTCAAGTTTATAAGAATTTAATGTTGCAGTTAAAATTGACCTCCCTCAGTGCTTTTATAGGAAAATACTTTATATAAATCATGATCATTTCACTTGGTTTTTCTTTCACTTCCTGCCATATCAAAAAGAAAATATTTCCTTTGAAATGTAACCTTATTTTCAGTCTTGTGAATGAATTTACTGTTTACTTACTATATATGGCTTAAGCTGATTTCTGAACTTCATGTTATTTTTAATTACTAAATTTAAGATATCAGTTTGACTATTTTTATGGAGACCCCAAAAATTATAGCCTAAGTTTCTCTCTCAAGTTAGGCTGCAAACTGATGTGGTGCTGCTGCTTTGTGACTTTGTCTAGGGCCCAGGTTTCTTCAATTTTTTTCTCTACCATCTCTAGGGTATTGTCCAAGATGGGTTACTACCACATCCACTTGCTACCTAGTGGGGACGAGGAAAAAGAAAGGGGCACCATCATTAAGGGCACCTGGAAGTTTTTCACAACTATTGCACTATCGCAGTCATATCCTGTTGATCAGAAGTTAGTCTTACAACCCTTAGCTACAAGGGAGACTGGAAATAATACCTTCTTTTATTAAGCAGCTATATATTCAGGTAGACCAACCAGCAGTCATTGAACAAACATTTTCTTTTTTTTGCGGCTGGCCAGTATGGGGATTTGAACCTGTGACCTTAGTGTTATAACTGAACATTTTTTTTTTTAATCACATCACCTTTGTTGATAGTCATAGTAGATGCTGTTAATCACATGAATGATTTCTAAATGATGATAATTGAAGGGTCTTGTTATTGTACATTTATGGTCTAATTTTGTCTTTGAATCATTTTATTGCACTTGAAATCAATAATTAAAATGAAAATAATCCTTTGAAAAGTTAGTGTTGATATTTTTTCACCTTTAAATACAAAATATTGGAAATAAAAATGTGAAAATAAAGTTAAAACTCTGTTGTTTTATAGATTGAAGTGATGAAAGGAAATGTGAAATCACGTCTTCAGATCTATTATCAAGAACTGGAAAAATTTAAAGCTCGTTGGGACCAACTAAAGCCTGGCGATGATGTTATTGAAGCTGGCCAACATAATACTCTTGATAAAAGTGCGAAGTCAATAAAAGAGAAAAAAATTGAGTTCGATGATCTTGAAGTCATAAGAAAAAAGCTGGTGTATGTTTTTTCTTTAAAATTGATAGTGCATATTTTGAAAAAAAGTTTTATATTTATATATCAAGATAGTAATTTTCTTATATCCGCTGTCTTAATACCTTTCCTCATAGACTTCAGCAGTTTTTAAAATACAAATAATAAGGGTTCATGTTATTGCTGTCTTAGGGGTTGTAGTTGGGTTATATAAAGATATCAAGAGAGAGCAAATTTCAAGAAAGATCTAGAAATAGAGTAAAAAATTAAATTTACTTAAAAGTTATACTAGGGGGTTGGAATACTCACTTTCTGTGATCTCATCCTATTTAAAAATGGAAAATAAAATGTTTTTGGAAAAATTACTTTCAATGCCTCTGAGAAAAAAATGAATCTAGCAAAATAAGTGATAGAAAAAGACTTCAAAGGAAAAAAATGGGTTGTCAGTTTATCTTATAATAATACACAGTATTACCTTTGAGCATTGTTTTAGGTTTGGTCTATTTAGAAAAATGTGTCCATATAATACTTGCTTTCATAAGTGAGTGGAGGTTTTTAGTACCATATTTAATAAATGCATTATACTGATTAGTGAAGCATATCTTATATTTTAGAAGCAAGCCAGCCCTTTCAACTGAGAAGACTTTTCTTCTCAGATTAATCCATAGATTTATACAATTGTGAATATTTATATATATACATGGTATATATAAAAATCTCTTTATATGTATTAACTCCATTTTGACTCCTTTGGAAAAAAAATGCACATTAATGAATTTAGTAGAGCCCATATATAAGTAGTTAAAATAAAATTTTCATTTAAAGTAGGTAATTTCCCACTGACTATCTCCACTATCAAACACTCACACACACATGCACACACACAAAATGCAGTTAAATAACTTCTTCATATTTAGCAGTTTTTCTAATTTTAAAATTTAATATTTCAATATTTGTTTCTCTAGTGATGATTGCCATCATTTTGGACTAGAAGAGCCTAATTTCTCTCTGGCACATAGTATCTCTAAAGACATTGAGAGCTGTGCACAAATTTGGGCCCTTTATGAAGAGTTTCAGCAAGGATTTCAGGAAATGGCCAATGAAGATTGGATTACTTTTCGGTTTGATTCAAAAACAATATTTAGACTCATATTTTGGTTGGTTTTTTGGGGATGTGAATTTTAAAATGTGTTTTTGGTATTTTACAGGACTAAGACATATCTGTTTGAGGAATTTTTGATGAATTGGCATGACAGATTAAGGAAGATTGAAGAACATTCTGTAATGACAGTGAAATTACAATCAGAAGTTGACAAATATAAAGTAAGATTGTTTTACTTATTCTCCTAATTAGAAACGATGTTTGGAGCTTTTATTTATTGTTTTATTACATAGTGACTGAACTGTAATTTTAGGTTATGTGTTTTTCCATCAAATTATTCCATTACATGAAAAAATAGGAAATATAGAGTAAACCATAGAAATTATTGATATTTTTGCTACCAATTGGAAAGAAATTACAACTAAGATTTATAGTTAAAGTTTTAAATTAGAGCGTTTATACATCCTAGTGCAACATAGGTCATATCCTAAAATAAAAGTAGAAGTCTTCTATGTCATGTTTTAAAATATATTAAATACACAACAAAGGGAAATTTGCATGTTTATCAACAGAAATGTTTAAAATTTATATAATTTTGTTTAAGAATATGATTTCAAGATTATTAAATAAGACAATAATTAAAGTTTTGATAGCTAATAACCATAAAAGCAAATAATAATTTGTATTTTGCTAATATATGTATATGGGTGTACATATGCTCTTTTTCTTCTTTTTTTAACAGATCGCAATTCCTATCTTAAAATATGTGAGAGGGGAGCATCTTTCTCCAGATCACTGGCTTGACCTTTTTCGTCTACTTGGCCTTCCTAGGGGGACTAGTCTAGAGAAATTACTGTTTGGTGATCTGCTCAGAGTAGCTGATACAATTGTAGCCAAAGCTTCAGACCTCAAAGTAATAATAATGACTTTTATAAATATCCCATAACTCTGGTCTTTATTATACAACTTTGCTTTGTATTTTGTTGTTAAAACAGCAGGTTAGATTTTTTCCTCTCCTTGAAATAGTGACAATGTTTTATTTCATTATTCTTTCATTAGTAATGCATCTGAATCTGTCAAGTGCTGTGTATGGTAGGTGTACAGAAACAATAATATAAACCCATTCTTTGAGAGAAGGAAAAAATGAAATACAAAAATAAAATGTCTTTAAGAAGGAAGTCAGCTTTAATCTAAAAGTAAACACACAAGATTACAAATCATTGTACATAAAATACATGTAAAATCATGTGGTATGTTACAAATAGAAGTTAAGGGATATAAAAATTCAGAGAGCTAAACCAAGAAGCATTTTGCTAGTAAGGTTTAGAAAAGGTCACATTGCATTCTGGCCACTCAGTATAAAAATATAAGGACTCTTGATATCAAGTTGTTTTGTTTCTTATCCAAAATGTAAACCCTTGTGTTTGTTAATAATCCTGGAACATGTTTAGATTATCATTAGAAATTATAAAGCATGACTGCTGTGGGAGATAATTAGTTGATAGTCATTTTAGAGGTATCAGAATTTACAATAAGATTACAATAAGATTTCTGAAGTCCAATTTTCCCAAATCTTGGCCTTTGGTCTGCAAATCTTTAAATAAGCCAGACTTTTGCAATGGATGCTTGAATTTTCTATTTTTCTTTTATAGAAGTAAAAAGCATAAGGCAGATCTTTGTATATACCTTGATCATGTGAACCTGGATACTTA